GGCTCGTGTTCAAATTCCTCGAGGTAGTGGAGGGGTGTTTCGGGGGGGTGATCCGGGCTTGGTAGTGCCCTGCTGAAGGTCATCATATACATATCCGGAGGGTGGATGGTTAGGCAGCCTGCTCCCCACATGACCGCGCGAGCATATACCGTCGCGTCCCCGAGGTAACTATCAATGGTTGATCCACTGCTACGCCCGCTGGGGGATTAAATTTGGAGATCCGTGCGGAGACCATTTGGGTATGATCTGCGGGTTGGGCGAGGGGATAATCCCATAGCCGGTTAAACTCGGCTGGAAGGATCATAGCTTCCTCGAGGTGCGGTAAGCGAGTGGCGACACGGAGGTATCGGTCCTAGTTTAATGGAGCAGGTAATTAGAGACACAATGATGTAGAAGCTGAGAGCGGAATACGCACGACATCCAAGTATTGCGGAACCTCACCCGCAATATCAATGCCCGAGCCGACCCAAAAACCATCGAGCGCAATCCCACACATTTTGAAAGCGCTTCCTCAATATGTGCACCGAACACCATGTATCTTCACACAAAGGGCGCACAGCTAAACGCTCGAGGGTATGGAAATGTGGCCACAAGGCCGTGCGGAAGAATGCTGCCGCATCATCACCATTTCCGATCCCCGCAGACGTGTGCGGGTACATCAACTCCAGGGAACGCAAACCCGCGTATGAAGCGAGATATTCAGGGAGCCGTCAATCGCGTGTGAGAGTGCAAGGTGGGTGACATGGATCTCTGCTGTACGCAAGGCATCGAACAGCGTAGCATGACTTGCCGCGAGGTGAGACGACGGATCCCCGAACATGGTCCCGATCATAATCGCATCCGTGTTTTCAGGACTTCCTTGGTGCAGCAGCTTCAGAGAGCGCAGAGTGCGGAGGTGTGGGAGGATGTTGGCATCAATCTGGACAGAGATACCATCGAGGCCGAGATGATCTAGTTGGAGCGGTTGACCAGTTGAGGTAAGAGTCAACAGTTCATTCAAGCACGGCAAAGAGCCTATCAATTCGGCTGGCTTATGGGTGATGTCAAGATGTCTCAGTCCTGGATTGAGTGAGATGATCGTCCGGAGGGTTCCAGATCACATGGGCGGAGACATGTAGCCACAACTAGCTCCCGCAATCCAAACACCCGACGTGTCATGTGAACAGGTGCTGCGATAGACACGTCCGAAAAGTGCACTGTCTCAAGGAATTCAAGCCCAGAGTACACGTAATTCATGACTGTGTTCCACGTCCACAGCGAGTCCCGACGGGACATGACCCACCTTGATAGATGAGGGAGTTTAATAAGGAAAATGACAATTGTGTAATGCGAGAATCGCACCTCACGGATTGGACATGTCCAAGGCAGTTAACGCCGGGGCCAAATACCGTTCAAGCGCCTGTTCAGCCTTGGCAGCACGCCGGGCCTCCTCGGGCTAGTATTACACTTCTGTGATCCATGCGACCGTTTGGGGTCATGTGAGGGCGCGAGGCAGACAATGTTTAGGCTTCTTACGAAGCTGCCAGCACGTGTCTGGCCTGTTGCCAGAGCTGTAAGCTGAGCGATGGGAGCATCGATCCTGTGTTTGTTGACATTGATGACAAGATGAGAAAATACGGATGGCTCGAGATGTAGTTGAGCTGCTGGCACACCAGGCGGAGCACGCGTTTGGTGGTGATGGGCAGCTGTAGGACACCGAATCAGTACGTCACGCCTGTCATGTTTGAAGTTGCGCGCACATCTTTGGACACTTCTTGGACCAGGTCAATGGGGAGAGATAAAAATCCAGTCATGGGAGTAACGATAGTGGAGAGGTGTCGATCCTGCTAAACAAAACAAATAGAATGCGACGCTTTAGGAAAGGAGAAGAATGGTTGGTTAAATAACCCCCGTGGAAGGAGGACGAATGACGTGACAGTGCGGATCGCGGAGTGGGGTAGCCTTAAAAATGACCCCAAGCCCCGATAACAAGACCAGCCCGGTAGTCCGGTTTCCAAGTGCATCCACGTCAAAACGATCTTAGAAATAAGCAGTATAATAGTTGGGGGTTGGAATGCAGGCGAAAGTGGGTCGACTTGATGTCAACCACGGAACCACGAATCCCTCCCACTCACAACATGAAGGCTGCCTGCCTCGGCGAATGAAGGAAACTGGTGCTCTAAAAATGCACGAAAGGTCGCTACGAATTGGGATGATGGGCGATGGAAACACGACAACTCCATTTCCAAGTGGTCGAGCTGTGTTAGGAGCCGGAGCTGCCGGTCCAAGTGCTTCCAGCCCAAATTATAGAAGGGGAAAACGGTTATCGACCCCCCAAATGTGTAAAGTCGCAAATGAACCCGCTTCAAAGAGGCGTCCGTCGAGATTCCACCGAGAAACTTCATAATCCAGGGAAGAGGATCATGATCCATCGTATTTGGGGGGAAATGGAGCACAGGGAAAGGTCCGAGTAAGAGATCCTGTAAATGGGGTAAAAGTGGCAACTTCGTATAGTCTGGGAAGATGGGAGGGATATCTTCGCGAGCTGACGAGGCCGTTAGAGTAAGTATAAGGATGGATTATTCGACTGACGATGCGAACCCAGCTCGAGACTCTGAAGGGACGAGGACATGCGTTGAAGTAGGTATGCAAACGTATCGTCCCACAAGATGCGATGCATGCAGACGAATTTCACGACACCGGTGATACCAACAGGACATCTGGGGTCAAGGATCCAATCGACAGCGATAGGGAAGACGTCTGCGCTGACATTGATGCTTAAATACTCTAACTGCACTGGCTGTTCTTCCGGGGTATTCCACGGAGAGTCGGTCTCAACATTTCGAAGTTCCCAGTGAGATAACAAGAGCGGCCCGGATAACGTTAGACTCCTCAAGCTCTTGCAATGCCTAAACAGAGATGACGGGAAATTTTTCGTCCCATCTAGGACGAGTTCGGATAGCGGGGCCTGTCGTATTAATGAGGAGAGTGCGTCCCGAAGCCCAGGTGATATTTTTCTCCAATTGATGGCAATCCCACGAAGGGCGAGTCGTTTTAGCCGAGGGGAAAGTGTGGATAGCAAACCTGGGAGACTTTCTTCGTCAGCTGCCCAACCCCGATCAGACCAAAGGTCAACGGTGTAAATCTGCTCGTCGCAAAGTTCAAGGTCGTGCACATATGATAACACGCGAGAGGAGGCTAGCAACGCGATCCGACGTTGGGTGCGTTTCTTGAGAACAAGACGCTGGAATAAGCGCTGTTGACTGAGAGCAAGGAATAATGGGGATACGAGAGCACACTGTTTCAATAAAGGAACGTCTGTTTTGAGATGGTCTAGGATGATGTGGAGGAGCTCTTGTGGGAGTTCGGGGCACGAAGGGGACATGAATCTTTAGTCTTGGAATTCAGAGACTCGACTTGGAGGGAAAAAGATTCAGGAGAAATGATGAAGCAAGATAATATGTAGCTGGAATCGGAACTGAAGTGGGTCGCGAGCTTGGTGGGGGCCGATACAAACAAGGAACAACTCCTACTCGGAGCATTTGGTTCTTGTGGGGCTGGCTGAGGTTGGCTAGTTATCACGGAGGTCTCGCAGGGAATAGTCAGCACGGAGGCCACTATGTACTACATACTATCCGACTCCACTTTGAATTTCGCGCTGTAGTCTTCGTTATCAAGAGCTTCTACTCTTCCAACTCATCCGAACTCAGATACACGTTCGGAGGGTGGTATAGGCATGTAATTGCACTAAGATTCATCGCGGTTCACGACCATATGATAATCAGCAAGCGAGAGAGACTTTGCAACTTACCTCGAAACAAAGACTGCCGTCCAAATTTCCCAAGATAGATGGAATAAGTATATCTCCAATCATATTGGGCAAAGCACGTAGACATGTGGGGGACCCTAATACTACCTATTGCGTCTTCCTTTTCCCTTTCTCAATCATGGGCCTGGGTCGCGTCGGAGAAACCCACTGAGTCCTCCAAACACGAAGCGCGAAGAGAGACCCAAAAACAAGACAGACTATTGATCTAGACATGGCATGCGGCATCGCAGAAGGGGCAAAGCTGGAGAAGGATGACTCTTTCAGCAAATGTGAAAATGCAGGGTGGTGGGTCAGGCAGCTGTATAACACAGCTGGAAAACGTTAATCCTTTATTACAACAAGGAAATCGGGCGACACACCTGCCAGGGAGCCACCCCATATATCTAAGGTTCCCCAAATACCACTTCCGCTCCGGAGGAAGGGAGGGGTGCTCATGCTCCAATTCGGAGACCATGTCGATAGGGTACCAGCCATGGTACTCCCACCAGCAGAGGCTATAGCCCCCAGAATAATATGAGCAACAGGTGATGTCCGAATTAGAGGGTTGACCGTGGGATTGGACTCGAGCAGGGTAAGGGTCGAAATTACCGCATTGGTCCGGAGAATCGCGTCAACCGGAACAAGGAGGGTGCTGAGTGCTCGCGGGTAGCCATGAAGGAGGGTCGGGAAGCAGTAAAACAGGAACGACAAGGTGAGATGGGGAACAACATAGTTGATATATGGATGATGCGAATATAACATTGGTGGTGTGAGGTTCAGCAATTGATGGGAAACCAATGTTCCTCCCCAACACTGATAGATATGAGATAATTTATGCTCGACACAGGAGATCGAGATCTACACACCATAATAAGGTACCCAATAATGTACGCGGGCCACGACGGCCGTATCGGCGCTGCGGCCCCATTCTGGGGAGGCAATGCCAAAGACTGGAAGACGAAAGATATTCGTGACGCATGTAGCGTCGGAGCAATTATGTAGGGAAAATATGTCGGATGAACAGGCATGGTGGTGACATGATTTAAAACAGCTGATATCGGGGTGAGTACTCCAGCCATGAGATGAATTGAAATTACCAGAACGGAGTCGACCCAGTCGCCCAATTGGCTAACTAACCCCCCAGATCTAATAAAACCAAACATCATCTCTCCGCAACCGCCCGAGCGTGGCCATGAGCGGAAACAAAAACAATGGGCCCAACCGGGAATTGAACCCGGGACCACACACAATTGACTGACGATTTGCCAGCGGGAGACTCCCGAAGCGTGTATCATACTACTAGACCATTGGGCCATGCCTCATCATCGAACTGGACCGTTATTGGCCAGCGGTCCACACCAAGATCTTCAAAGCCAGCTCAAGTGGACGTGCCATGGTAGGGTTTACGTTTTTGGCTCTACTATAATACCAATAAATGGGCCTGAAGTACTTGTGGTTGGTTCGAACCCAGCGAATTTGGACCCCCATAAACAACTCGCTTCGCAGTAGTTGGTAATCGTGCGACGTGTCTCCTCTCGGAAACACCAAAAACTGTACTGATAATTGGCAGACAAACTGCTGCTGCTATGCATTCAAAGTCGGAGACTCTAAGTTAAAATTCAAGTCATATAACATGTAGATATAACTTGAGAGTTTCCCAGCCTTCAAGTTCCCTCGCATGACATTGACTGGTGGGAATTTGCCAATGTCTTCCATATTCTAAAATAACAATTTCACCTGCGTTAGCCTCGTCCGCGATGGTGAAGCTAGGAGAAATGTCGAACGACTCGAGGCGAGTAGTTGCACTCACTGGTAGATCTTCTCCGACTGAATTCTACCGCATTTCAGTCTTGAATCTCGTCGACGACGAAAGCGCCGGAGGCCGGGCTCCGGGCGGAAATCAAGCATTCAAAGGATTGATGAGGTATTGCGTTCCCTCCAAACTATCGCCGGGTTGTCGACAGAGCAGGTAATGCTTATGCGAATATCTCCGCTGTAACTTGATCGTTCTCTCATTCCTTCAAGGAAATTATCTCCGACAGTGACTGCGGGGGTAACAAAGCCTGCGCCGCCGAACAACAGCATGGCGCCGTCTCCGAGCGGGAACAGGCTTTTTTAGAGCAAAGCCTTCTTACGACCCAACATGAGCTCGTGTGTGCGTTTAAACGAGCGGTTGATATCAAGTCCCGGATACTCGTGCTTGATCCCTCCTTTGAATTTGTGGATATGATAGGTAATAATTCAGCACGTTGTTCTAGTATGGTTCGTATAGCTTTGTTCATTCATATTTACTAGATGATCTCCGCTATCAGATGTCCGAACGTGAGGCGGCACTGAAGGATGAAAGAGCGAGGCGTAGAGAGGCGGAACAAGTATTGGCTGATGTACGTCGGGAATGCCGAGATCCAGTTATTGTTCCTCAGATTCTCGAGGGGTTGGCAGCGGCAGCGGATAATCTATCTGGTCAAGATTGATATTTACCACACAGACAAAAGCATTCTCATACTATCAGAAATATTCCGAATCATTATTCGTCATCATGAGCTCGTACATTGTCGTCGCAACTGGGCATGAACCTAACTCGCGTTGATTATACGCTCCACTTCCATTTGAATCCGAGCGCGGGCAGCTGTTCCTTCAGGACTTTCTCCTCCGATAAGTTTCTGGTTGCCCAGGCCGGTGGTTATGCCTTCATAAATTAATGCCAGGATTTTGATCCATTGGTGGCCCCAGATTTTTATGGCGTCCGCACCCATCACATCGAGAGCGGCTGGGATTTTGGATTAGTCAATCAACGGATGGGATTTCCGGGAGACGCACCGAAAATGAGCTGAGGCGCAACCGCCGTCTCCAACAACCCCCGTTCACCCATCAGCCGGGCGAACCATGTCCAGTATCTTGGTAGTTGGAACATGGGTTTCAGTGGCTGCCGGGAGGGTGGCACTTTCAAAATATGGAAATAAACCCTCATGATTGCGGACACTCGCGCGCCGTATTCCGCGGCGGTTTCAAGATCGTCGCCAGTTGCACTCTTCCGGTATCCCATGGCCTTGGTTCGGTCCGCAGTATCCTTCCACGGCTGACCTCCAGTGTCAGTGGTGGGCACAACAACAGGGATAGGCCATCCGCCAGTCCGTTGTACGAGTTTCGCGAAGAAGATTTCCGAGAACCCATCCAAGCTATCAAGGAGAATGAACGTAACCTGTCCGAGGGGTTGGGCACTGCGTTTCTCTGCGATGACTTCGGTTTCAGCTTGGAGAAGGATAGCCTTCGCGAGGGATGACAAGAGGGCGGTGTAAATTGCACGGTGGTGGGCAGGTGAGTTTGGCGGCACGAGGATGTGTATAATTTGTGTTGACTGGTGCTTATGAGTATAAATCGCTACGAAAGAAGCAATTACTCACAATGTGTTTAATCGCTTGCTGGTCGTTGGTTAATTGCCCAATCTTGGGGGTAATTTGTCGACGCCATTTGCCCCACTCCGCTTTCAACTCTTTGTTTGATTTAACTAGAGTCATCGCATCCATTTTCAGACGCTGTGTTGGCTTAGGATGGAAGGCCAAATGGGATGATGGGAAGCTACCTGGAGATTTATTCGAGCCTGCCGCCAGTCCTCTTCAGCGGTGGTTAAACCAAGCGTTTTCCGCTGCCCATCTTCCGCTTTGACTCGATCTGATTTAAGTTTCTTCTCCTCTTCCCGCTTTAACAGCTCCTCTTTCTCTTTCCTGTCTTCCTGCTCTTTCTTCTGCCTCTCTTCCTCTTCCGCCACCCTCCTCTGCTCCTCCTCCTGTTTTTTCTTCTCCTCAACAAGCCTACGTTTCAATTCCTCCTGTTTCCTCTGCTTCTCCTCCTCCTCCTTGGCCCTGTTCTCCGCCTCGATTCGCTTCCTCACCTTGTCTTCTTCGAGTTGTATGACCGTCTCTATCCGTTCCCAGAGCTTCTGGTCCCGCATTTTCCACCCTTCCCGCATGCGGGTCTCCTCCCTCTGCTGTTGTATCTTCATCGTTTCTAGCCTATTCTGCACCTCAGCCATTTGTTGGGAATGGATTGCTGCTAGCCGCTCGGCATCCTGGTTGCGTTGCTTCTCCTGCCGTTCAGTTAATTGTAATTGCGTCGCTGATTGCTCCTTCCGTGCAGTCCGCTGGGAATAATAATCAGACACGACGCAAACACGTGTGTATAAATACCACAGACAAAGGCATCTTTACGCGTCGCTTTCTCCCATTCTTCATAGGGATCGTGATGGCGGGTACGCAGTCGTATAGCAGCAATGGTGTCATCAATCTGTCGTCGTTCCACTATGCTCTGTGCGCTATGGCGAGGTCGACTACTCATGGCTCAGTGCGGGGATCGGTCCGCCAAAGTGAAACATACCGTGGTTGTAGGAAGCATGAATTGAGGGGATATGTCAATGACTCCGATTCAGAGGTGCTCGTTCCCGAGTCTGAGTCGTAGTTTGAACCAGAGGATGATGACTCTTCTAGATCATACTCGTCCGAATTGCTATCGGAATCTGACTGAAGCCCAAACGTGGAGGTCTTTCTAATATCTCCACATGATCAGATAAGAAATGAACCAACGTCCGGAATGGACATACCCTCGAACAGGTGATGGAGAAATTGAGCGGGGTGCACTGAAACGCATGGTTGCAATGTGCTGGTCAGCGCGAAATAGGAATCCGAATGGCAATTTGTTGATCAAATTGGTCACGTGATATTTCCACAAACAGCCTGACCCCGGGGCCGACCCAGCTGAGAGTCTCCGACAACGACATCAGCGTGGTGCACAGTGCACTGGTGACTGCAGTGTGTGGAAGGCCAAATTACACGGATAAATGCTAGGGAGTGTCGTATATAGTACCACTACTACTTGAATCACCCCACAAAACGCTGGTACTAAGGAATTCCCTCACCCGAAGTTCGAGGGTTTGTGCGCGTCCTCATCCTGCCACGAGCCGCTGTAGGTATCCTTGATGGTCCACCAAGCCCGGTTCCCCTTTGGACAGTCGCTTAATAACGCGAGCGCAGTGTGCCCCTGGGATAAAAATCCTCCAGGCGTCACTGGTGTCGGAACGTTCCCATATGGCAAACTCGACCATTTGAAGATGACAGATATTTGGGAACACTCTCAATAGACTACCCGTGAGGATGCTGTACTGCAAAGCAAGGTCTGAGAGTGGGTATGTCATATCCCAACCGAAATTCATCTTCAGCTGTTTCATGCCAGGATGGTACGACCATTTTTTGCAGAGATAATCGAAGAGCTATGGAAAGCATGAGTTTGTCGAGAATCAATTAATAATCGATTTGCCAACCCCTGCTAGCCTTGCCTCTTTCTCCCGAGCTGTCATTTCGGGCGGGTGGACATCAGAGGGAAAATCCAGCCGAAGTTCTGATAACTGGGGGAATTGATAGGCGAGGGGTGTATCGGAAATCATATTTGGGAATATAGAAAGGCTAGTTAATGTTGTCAATGGAGTAGTTCCAAAAATGCCTCGGAGGTCAGCGGAGAAGTCTGGCTGACAATCGAGCACTCGAAGTTCCACCAATGGCCTTCCTGGAACCAGCACTTTGGCAACCGCCAGGGAACATTCCAGGTAACGGAGGTTTGGTAACACTACCAAATCCCATCGTGGGATCATGGGACTTCCGGCATGGGCTCGGGCAGGGGAGATTTGAGCCAGGCGAGTGACGGAACTTTGGATAGCACATTTATCAGCAACTGCGTGTCCGTGACCTGGGATATAGTTAGGCTCTTAAGAGTGGCTGTTGGTCCTCGAGCCAGGAGAGCGGCGATAAACTCGCAGGTGCCTTTCAGGTTGACTAATGATGCTGTGCGGATAGCTGGGGCTAATATCAAGTTGTCCGAACAAACCTCGAGGTGTGAAAGATGAAGGGCCGCTAAAACGGGGAGTTTGGCGTCGCTCTCGAAGAGTGGGGAATATATCCCCAAAAACTGGAGGGACCGGAAGGTGCCTACGATATCGGTCATTTCCCCATCTAAAACTACCGCAGATAACCGAAGATTTTGGAGGTTAGGCATGCACCTCAAAACTCGTTTGTACATTTGAAGATGGGAAACCTGGATTGGTGGGGGTATAGATCGTGAGCGAGATGGGAACCTGATGTGCGCCCTTAAGCGATACGATGCACGTCAATTTCAAAATTTGGTCAGCAAGTAACACCCAAGTGGATGGCTCTTGAGTCTTGAACGGGTTACAGTAGTACTCACGTCGAACCAACTTGAACCTCAGGCTGGAGGATCAGTTGAGTCACGTTGCTTGAATAATTGGAATGTCGTAACATGCGTGACAC